GTAGGTAAAACGTAAATTTCTGGATAGTTGAGTAGACAAAGTGTATTTATTCCTCAAAATTTTAAGGTTTTGGCTAGCCAATAGCTTAAGAAATTCTAAAGTACTAAACCTTTTTGTGAATGTGTTAGTATTGGTTAAGTATCTTGCTGACCAAGAGATTAAGAAATTCTAATATATGCACCAACTGCATTATCTACATACTACTAGCACTGGCTGAAATCACATTTTGTGTTGCCACTTCTTTTTAAATAAGCTGTATGCGTATGGAAACATCTTCAATGAACCTATGCTAAATGTAAATAATTCACTTTAGTTAACATCAGTGGTTGATAAATTTAAAATATCCAATTTATCCTACAACATAAAATTCACACAATTATTTTTACATAAGGCATTTAAAAATAAATAATGATACGTATTCTGAAAAAGAATATTGTACAATGTCCTTGAAAACTATATGACAGGGCCAAGTATAGTTAAACATAAAAATACAGAACACCCTAAATTTACACATGGGGACGGATTCACTTTTTTCTATATACAACAAAATCACCATCTCAGCTTATAAAGAGTACTTGCAGCTTTGACTTCTCCACCTACACAATACCATGAAGTGGCTCAAGAGCCAACTCCTCATAATCATTAAGAGGTTTTGCTTTCTTCTTGAGTGAGAAAGGTCGTAGGACGAATCTCGCCATACGGCTCAACGTGTCCTGCAAACCTTCCATTTCATAATGTCCAAACCTCCAATCCCGGACAATATAAGGCCGCAAGATGGGTTTGTCGAGCCCCCCTGTCACCAAAACCAAATTTTTATACTCAAATTCTCAGTAAAAGATTGGGACACGTTATCTTGCATGGATTTAATCACAAGAACAAGGAAAAAAGAAACGAAAAATGGTACTTTTTCCTTTTTTCGGAATAGAGTTGTAAGGTTGTGATGTTACCAGCATACATCAGGCCGTGTTTGTTAACTGCACGGTAAAACGGTCTTTTTTTACGCTCCTTAGCAGCTGATTGAAGTTCGCGCCAAGCTCGTGTTCTGTCCAGACGTTCTATTTTGCCCGACTTTACAATCTGCAATTAAGAAAGAGCTCAATGTAACAACTTCATCACTTGCAATGTCCACTGGAAGTTTCGATTATTCCTTAGCGAAATAGAAGTGCTGTTACCTTTGAAAACAAATCATAGGACGGGCGTGGGCTCCGCTCAAGATTATGGAAACGGTCAACTGCCACAAGCCCGAACTTGGGCCCATACCCATCAGCCCATTCCCAGTTATCTGATATGGTCCAGAACAAGTAACCAAGGATGGGCACACCCTATATAATGCCCCGAAAGTATTAGTTTAAGTTAGGACTCAAAAGTCAAAACTTAGTCTAGTTATGTGCTTGTTGAGAAATTACAAACAAGAAGAAAATTGTAATTTTGAAACAATACCTTTTTTTTTTTTTTTGGAAATT